AGCCTTTTGCTCATTTTTATATTACATTTACGAAAAGTTTCTTTCAATAATCTGTTATTTTTCGTTACATAACGTACGTGGTCGTTAGTGTACACGTGATCCACGCGTTTGTTCCATTGTTTGTTGTTATCATCATCCTTGTTCCATTCAATTGAGTATAATATTGGCCTAACGCTTGACGTAATACTCACTAAAAACATAGTGTTGCGTCATCGAGATCACGTGACTATTCTTACGCCCTCTACTTTCTAGAACTATCCTGTACTTTGGCGAATGCTCTAGTATTTACTAGATATAGGGTAGTCCATATGACTACTGTGACGCCACGTTTCTAGAACTATCCTGTACTTTGGCGAATGCTCTAGTATTTACTAGATATAGGGTAGTCGGGTATATAAAAGAGGGGGACAACGTGACGGGGGAATGTAATGTGTGTGTGAAGATAGTGAGTAATTGAACTGCAGTCAGAAGTATTATTGACGTTCGTTGATATAGCGTTTGTTTTAGCGCGATTGTTGAAAATAAGTGTATCGTAACGTTGTATTCGGAAACACAAGTTCTTTACTTAATAAAACTGGTTTATTCTTACGAAATCTCATAACACAGTTTATTGTTAATTTATTTAGTTTGAGCTCTCATAACTTGCCAATGAAAGAAATACTTCCCATCAAACAAAATATTCCAAACTATCCGAAGATAGAAGTTTAGGCGTTAAGTTTATTTTTACAATAACGTTTTAAAGTTTAAGTCATAATAGTAAAATCTAGTCAGTTTAAAGTCTAGGTTTGTGATTAGTTTTAGTGTAATTTAGTATAATCCTTAAACTTATGTGGTAACTAGTGGTGTTTTCATAACAGGGTGATTGTATATAATTCCCATGAACATGCTTTGATATAATTTACAAACAAATTATAAAGACATACGTCCAGTCATTGAATACGCATGGATAAACATTGTAGCCAAACACATTAATAAACTTCAATCAGTACAAAACACCTTACTCACTACAGCATACAAAATACCCCGATCCACATAATAATGAACAATTATGCAAACACAGACTCTTGGATAATTCGCTAAACGAAAAATTGGCAAAAAAGTCCTATTATTCGAATTGCATACATGATGAAGATGTACCTAAGTACCTCTCGCCAATTAACGTATATCTTATACGTATATTTAATTAACATATATTTAATAAGGCCACTTAACGCTAGACCAAAAACCTCATATTAGTTTTAAGGTGATACGACAGTCTTGAAAGGATTTTAATGTAAATTGTTCACGATTAGTATTGGAACTAATGAAGTGTGTAAATATATTGTTACGTCTCCGTTTGTTAATTAACTTTCCGTAACTTCGTTCCGACGAAACTTTAGCGAATTTGATCCAAAAAAGATTCCATTAATTATAGAATGTAATTTTACTTTTAGTGTTAATAAACTATAATTTATTTCAAAACTAATACTTCAGTACATTTATTAGTATAGAACTAAACATATAATAATTGAATATATTTTATTCTTTATTGTTAATCTGTTTCTGACCTGGGAGAAATGAAATATGTGGTTTTGAATTAATAATATTGTCATAAAATATGTAGCTGTGAAATGTTATGAAACGTATACGACGTCTTGCCATTTTTATGATATCGCTATCTTTCGAGAAGACTTCAAATTTACCGTTTCCAGAATGGTTACGTCTCCGTTTGTTAATTGATTTTCCGTAACTTCGTTCCGACGAAACTTAAGCGACACAAGTCCTTTCTTAATAAAACTGATTTATTCTTTCCGAATATAACTTTACCGATACACTTATTTCAATATTCGCGCTAAAACAAACACTATAACGAACGAACGTTAACTTCAACAATACCCTGTGACTGCAGTTCAATTACTCACTATCTACACAGACATTACATTACCGCGTCACGTTGTCCCCTCTTATATATACCCGACTACCCTATATCTAGCAAATACTAGAGCATTCGCCAAGATA